AAATTGTAAGATTGTAAAAATTACATATAAGTAAAAAACATGTTTTTAAAGTGTTTAAAGTATTTCCTTTTATATTATATAGATCTTTTCGGTCAAAAGATGATCATATTCCCATCGCAAATTAGCCATTCCGTACAATTCGCCCTCCATCTTTCTTGCGTACGTAACAAAGTTGCACAATTCTTTTGTCGAGCATAGTTTGTGGATCCGGAGTGAGGAACATTGCTTAGACCTTGAGAAAAATGACATTAATAACGACGTTGTTATTAGAACAAAAATTTTTAATGTATTGTGTCATCATATGAAAAAAACTCACAATTTATGAACTAGATGATTCCCTGAGATCTGGAGTGACAGACTGATGTTATTACTGTGTTCCTTGCATGGGTGTTGCTGTGACTTGACTATGTTGAAGGTCACTTGAAAGCTGCAAGTTTTCCAATATATTCTGTACATCTATCAGACTAGATTCAAACTCAAACTTCTGTTTGAAATGTGTGTGAGGATCTGATAATAAGAAATATACCAGATAAATTAAGAAAGAAATAAATATTATATATCCATGTAAAAATATCTTTATATAAATTACTTTGTGGATTGGCTTCTCTAGCTCCCTGTCTTATTGGTTCGCAAATCACACAGTTATTGTTAATACAGTGTCTCCAATGATTAATAATCTGTCTCGATATTTTGCAATTAGGCACTGTGCAGTTGTTGCCAAGTTGACACATCGTCATGTGAGTTAACAAATTTCTAATCATTAAGCAATTTGATAAGCCACATTGTCTATGCTCGTCAGTCCTAAGTTTGGTTTTGCATNTATGCGCATGCAACATATACACTAAGTGCTTCTGAATACCTTTAAGGTGTTCCGGTCTATTGGCTAAATATCAAAAAGTTTTTTCATTAGTCAAATACATTTTTATACAAGTAATGTTGTAGCAAAACAAAAAGAAAATAAAAAACAAAAACTTGTTAATCACTTTCTGTTCGAGTTCTGTTCCAAGAGCAACAAATAAAGCGAGAACGATATAGGCTGCTTTCCTTTTAGGAGACACAGTCGACACAAGTCGACACAAGAGTCATTCTGTCTTTGTTTCTCACTGAATACCGAACGAAGACAGAATGACTTTTGTGTCGCCTTGTGTCGACTGTGTCTCCTAAAAGAAAAGCAGCCACAGTTCTCTCGTACTTACGACAATGAGCACTAGGCATTAGGGCTTGAAATGATTGTTGAGAAGATTGTCCTTTAGCTGGTTCTCCCATTTGAGATTGTGTTGGGCTCGATACCGATATTTGAGTTTATATTTTATTAGAGCGAAAATCGTTGTAACGCAGTGACGCGGAGATCCAGCAGCGAAAGCAACGAGTTGACGGGGATACGCCCAAGGACAAGCAAGAACCGCTGTTCGCGTGCGATCGGCTGGTTGGCTCGTGGAAGAGTGCAGACATACTATGTTCTGTCTCATTTCTACAAGTTGTAAACGGCTAATCAATGGGTGCGTTCAGACAACTCAACGGTTGAGAGATCATCACTTATGATAGGACTATTCTTCAAAATCTGCTTAGGTTCCAAAAGTATGATCCAATCAGAAGTGATTGGGTGCGTTCAGACAACTCAACAGTTGCACAACGGTTGAGAGATTATCACTTCTGATTGGA